GGGTGTGGAGGAATTCGTGATCGTTTACAGCGTCGGGTCCTTACGCTGCGACACTTCATCATCATCATCATCACGCCGCCGCCTCCGGGAATGCGTGAGGTGGGTCCCTGTCTCAGCATCCCCCCTCGCAAACGCCCACAGAGCTGCCAGGAATCACCCACCGGCTCGCTGCCCGCCCCGGGACAGCCCGTCAGACGGCCGCTGTCAGCAATAAAACCGGGCACAAGGCCCTGGTCCCACTCGGGTCCCACAGGACACGTCATGCTCGGCCCTGCTCCCACACAAGGATGCGAGGAAGGGTCGCGGCTGTCACGACTGCGTTTGGGCAGTTCTTGGTTAAAGTTCAGGTCATGAGAAAAGCGACTGCATCTGAAGGAGCAGCGTGAGGACAGCTGCTTTCTGAAGTCATGCTCCCTGCATAATACATATTTCCTATCGCGATTTAAAACTGCTCCTTGGTTTGCCTTTTGCAAAAGGATGAAGAAACAGGTCCCCAGTGTTTGCCTTTGCAACTTCACAGCTGCTCGAGCTGGTGACTTGTATCTGACCGAGCACAAACAAAACACAGGTATTTGCAGAATACATGTTTTCAACCCAGTGAAAGCAAAAAATCTGTAGATGTTTGGGAAAAACACCCCTTCTGTCAGCTGCAAAGAAAGCCAGTTTTCTGTGGTGTGCAGTGGGTTTCTCTCCAAGGTTTCTTCTGTTTGGTCCTCAGAGGCTTCTCGTTTCTCTATCAGCCCACGGTGGGGTCAGGGAACTTGCTGGTCAGCCAAACCGTAGGGCATCTCTGCAGATGGTCACTCATCTCAGAAAAAGTTGTTTTCCCCAAGTGACTAAACGCAACGATACCCTCATAAACTACATGCATGCTTGTGAGACAGGCAGCTAGCAGACCTCTGCGACCACGGAGTTTTTTTCAAGAAAACCAGGTTGCATCTAGCAAAAATAAACTGCTGACTATGAGTTAAGCCCTATTACCAATGCACCCTAGAAACCAGTAACTGTAGGTGGGAAGAGCTCTGGCTGCACAGAGCTCTCCTCTGCTGCATGTAAAGCTCTCCCGCAAGTTAAGCACAGACAGCGACGTAACGCCTAGCGACAGCAATCCACCGCCTGCCAGGCTGCTGGCCGACAGGCCTTTACAGCTGGCTTGCCTGCTCACTTTGTGCAAGAAGCCATAGTGCTCCTTCATGAATTTTTCTCTCATTCTTCTGCAGCACCAGGGACACTACATTTCTTCCCCTAGTTTCTTCTCTGTGAGCACCTTTGTCCTCACATTGTTAGGAAAGGGGATTACTTCCCCCTCTGCAGGGGCCGGCCGGAGCTCAGCACTGTTGCTAGGGCTGGGAGCTTGGCTCTCCCGCCAGTGCCATCCGTTTGCTTTTCATGCTTCATTTGGTCGACATTTAGCACGTAACCAACTTTTAGAGCACTTTCCACCTCTCTCAAGGAAACAGCAAGAGAAGTCTTTTCTTTCAACTTCGCTTGCTCTTCGGAGCCACTGATCTCCTCACTGCCAGGCTTGATCTACTTCTCTTTTCTGGGATCAGAGATCAGCACAGAAAACAGCTGTCCTGGTATAAGTGCAGAGGTTTCTCAAGGCTTCCCCACAGACAAACCAACCTCCCTCTTCGGTTACATCCAGAGTAGTCTACAAACTTAAATGGGCACTGGTGAAAAAGTCTTATCTATCTATCTACCTACCTATCTATCCATCCGTCCATCCACCCATCTGTCTGTTGAAGGCAAGTATTTCCCCATGTCCTTGGAGGGAAACCAAGTGCAATAATCTTTAAGGAAAATAAAATAATTCTACCATTAAATGAGGGCTAAAAATCCTAAAGATTAACCCTAAGTATCTTACTGATAACTTCTGTAACCTCGGTGACTGACATAAATTGTCCTTGAGTTTTATTTGCCGTATTCTTTTCTGATAATCCTTCTGTTTCTTCAAATCTTGTCTGAAATATTCATCAAAGAAGAAGGTCTTCTAACAGTGCAGTTCAGCAAGAGTTTGTTCGAAAGCTTCAACACAGATTTTGCAGTTAGCTGTTTTCAGCTGTAGCACAATGAACAGACGCATTCAACAAGACATGTAGAGTGGATATTTAAATCTCTTCTTTGGCCTGTCAGAAGGACAATTAACAGATAATTAACAGACACATTCAACAGTAATTTGAAATCATAATCTTAAATCTCAAGGGACATAAATTGAAAGTTGACTTGATGTACATGGAATAGGTATCAATCCCTAGGATCTCAGTGAAATAGTTGAACAGAAGTTTCTGTTCTCTGAAACGAAAAGGGTTGGCACCTTCAAAAAGTAATTTTCTGATCCTTGCTATAAACTTCTGTTTACAGAATTTTTATGAAAGCTTTGGCTAGCTAGCTCAGCTGCAGGATTACACAGGACATTCTGTGAAGTCATTTAAGTGAAGGGATTCATACAGATTATTGTGACACAAGAATTTTCATTTCTTTAATATGACAAAAAGGCAATCCTCCAAAATTCCTCCTCTGAACCTGTGACACATTTGAAATTTATTATAAGTTTTCCCAACAAATTTCACTTTTAATTTTCCTCAGTATATAATTGCTGCCCAACTGGCAGGGGTCGGTTGCAATAAATATTTGCCTCAGCCAACTTTTTTCACTGCAGGTGTTCCTGTGTATTTGCTAGACACCTCAAAACCAAGGATAGTGAATTTTCTTTCTGCAAACCACATGTAGAGCTTGAAAGAATGGAAGAGATCAAATAAAGACAGGATTAAATGTAGCATTTTTGCAGGTAATACCTCTTTACACATTGGTTTGTTGCATTCTGCATTGCTTTCCAGCTCTCTACTCTTCACATGCCTGCTACTGGGTGATCAGTCGGCTGCCACCAACTAATTAACAATCTAATACACACTAGAGTTCTTAAAAGACTGCAAAATTGTATTCTAACAGTGTGGTAACAAACTACTGTGCTAAAACAAACAGAAGATAGAGGCTATTGAACAGTCATAACTACAGGAAGAACAAAGATGCAATTGCTCATCATTACTGGCTAAATAGCAATAATAAATAGCAATCAGAGTGGTTTCTAGGTGACCCACAATGGCACACTAGTTTTGAAAGCTTAAACTGTAAAAAGAGAGGGCTAACCAAAGGTTTCAATATTGGTCTCAGAAGAGGCTCCAGGCATTTATCTCAACAGAAGGGAAATGTATAAATGTTAATGTAGAAGTGTGGATTGTGTTTCATGTGAACGCCATATTCACCTTAATACTTTTGAATTACGTAATTTGAACTTTTTGAGTAAGTTGATGTTGGAATACAGTGAAATCAGTTCTGCCCATATTTAAGAGCAGGATCTTAAATATGTTGCTATTTCATGTCATGAGCTCTTACCATTTAAACCAGAGTATTTTTATTCCATCAAGGTTACCAGCTTGATTTCTGAGTAGTTTCACACTGCTGTAAAAGAGGAGGGGGAAAAAGGCTGAGGGAAATTGATTTTTTTTCTGTGTAAGCAAAAAAATCTTTCTGTTTTATGACAGCCTGTAAAAATTGATTGCTTGTCAATGTAAACAGGTGGTAACAGATCCAGGATGATTGGCATTTACTCTGTCCATCCACAGCTCTCATGGGACTTTACTTTTAACATATTCCACTGTGTCTGCAAACCCAGCAGTTTAGAAACACTAACAAGGATTTCCACTTTTAAAGAACTTTTAGTAGCGAGTCTACTGAGTACTTGGTGACTTCCGCTGCTCAACAAGCTAGAAAGAAGCTGCCTGCATCATGTGCATGACCAGTGCTGTTTCAAAAGTCAAAAGCACTAAAAAATGTGCATTTGCAAAGGTACAATCCTACCTATTCTCCACCTCCTTCTAGCTCAAAATGGGAGCTACTACTTTACCTACTCCTCTATTATAATTTCAGATCCCATTCAGGTTTGTTCCTGTTCTTTAGTCTCGTGTTTTGTAATGTACTCCTTCATATCAGCTTTTTTCCTGCTAATTAGATATTTTATCATCCCTCTCATCCCACTCTTGAGTAATTTTTGTCTCCAATTATTTTGACTTCTTTTCCCTTTACCAGCAGCAGTAAGCTTTAACGACAGCTGTCAATAAAAATCTAAGACTTTAGGGGGAAAAGGTACACCAACCAGAATTCTGTTTATGCTCTAGCTACCTTTTTTCCTCTCAAATAAACACTTCTTCCGCATCTAGTTATGGAATTTTCCTGTTAGGAACTGAAAAAAGAAGGTGATGAAAATCTGGCATGTCTAAGTACAAATTATAACAGGATAAAAGTAAAATACACGCCTAGAAAACATTAATTCATTTGGTTTGGTTTTCACTTTTGTGGCTTTGTTCTGCGTACATGTGTAATTTTATGTATTAGTTCCTTAGATTTTTAAAACTGTAAACAGAGGATTTGTATTTGTAAGACTGAAGTAGAACTGACTAAAAGGAGTTAGAAAGAGGACAGTGTTTTATATACTTCTTGATGGACAACTCAAAAATCTTTCAAGTAACTCCTGAAAGAGGCATATGAGTCTCTCAGCAGACACACACACCTACCAGCAGTAGTTTAAGTTAGTAAATTGAGCTATGAAAGTAAACCAATACCTCATTAATTCAATTGCATTTTTTAGGTCTACAGAGAACATGCTTCTTTTAACACTTTAGTTGTTTTCAAAACCTTCCAAAACTTTGACAAACATGTCAACACCAAAAGGTCAGCCAGCTTTCAGACTGGGGTTGTCCCAGGATTTGTCCTAAGACTTTTCTTTATAATATATATGAGTAACACAAAGCTATGCATTGAACTTAAAACAGCCTAAAAATTAACACTTAACAGAATTTCAGACCAGAAGTACAAACATTTTTTTGAGAAACACCTCCTGCCCTGCAAATTTATACTCCTTTTAAAACTCTACCCTGGACTGTGCTTCCACAACACTTGGGGATGAAGAAAGTGAAAAATTCTAGAAACGCTGTAAAATGTGTTGCTGGTAAAGAAACCTTTGAATATCTACAATACACTTCATTTTAGAACAGAAACGGCTTCTTCCTAGGGGAAACTCTAAAGGTTGATATATTTTTTATTATTTTTTTAATGAGAAAGTTGTGCTAAAAAACATATTATAAAAAATAATTAAATGGTTCAAGGCTAGGCATTTTCCATACATAAAAGTATATATGCTAGGCAAAGCTTCGAACCTATGCATTATGAATCTTACATTGCATGCTGTCATAGAAGTCAAAAA